CAGCTGATACCCTGATGTATACAAAGCTACACGAGGCTATAGTTTTAGCACTGGGGTCCAACATTTCCCACCCACTTTTCTCCTGTACCAATGTTGAATTGTGGTGTTGTGTCCATGTGGTGTTGGGTCAGGTCGGCCAATAAATCCAATACGCCATGGTTCGTCCGGAGACCAGCAGTTTTACAATTCATGAATTTATTATGGGCAACGGGCATACCGGTGCGCCTATCCTATTGATTTATCGTTACGCCCCGGCACTTTTGCGCCTTATACTCGCCAATGTCTCTCAGCTCGTGTCCGTGGCTTTCATTCGGATGATAATTGTTTTTCATGATGAGGTGGATGTGGTCGCGCATCCCATCCCCAAAATTATTCCAACATTTCTATTTGTCGTTAAAATCCGGTAAAAATAAAATAGCGGGATGAGCCTCGAATGAATGATCGGTATCCTCGACAGTTCCCGGTACAACTATTCGCTGAAAAATTCACGTCCCATCACACAAATAAACCCCCAACCCTGATCTGATCTGCTGACCGAGGCATCGTCTCCCCCGCTGAGAAATCCCCATGCCAACTTCTCAAAAAAAAAATAAATAAATAAATAAATAAATAAAAAAACCATCACTCGAGAATAAATACATTTTTATCCATCATTTACTTGCACATTTCCTTATCCATCGTGAGATATATTTTAAATGAGATTTGCGCGATGAGTACTTGCATAAAATAGCCAGTGGGATCGCTGTTAAACGTATTCGTCCCGAGATGATGGTATATTGGAGGAGGGGAAAGCCCAAGCCTACATCAAATCCAAGCAACGCCCATCCTCTTCAATCCCCCACCGCTTCCTCCCCCCTAGCCGACAATGTGACCTATGATCCGTGACCCTCACGCACATGCGTGCATGTGGATAATCTCGTCCTCGTGAGCTCTCGCCATTCCCGTTTTTACCCATAAAAAACCGATCGATCAATGACGAGAAAACACCGATCCACGATTTCTCCAATGCGGAAAACATTTTTCCTCGTGTTTATAAACGAAAAATATATACTTTTCACCCGAGGGTGGAAAGTCATTTTTCTGTCAATTTATCGGGGATGATTGTTTATTGGTGAATTTTATATTGTTGAAACAATATTCAGGATATGGGGGTCAGAGAAAAAATGAAATTATATATGTTATGCGGAATTTATAGAAATTGTTCAATCAATAAGGAGAATTCCTTCAATGCGGAAAGCAATTATTTTTTTATTGATGTCGAAAGCGGTTCATCATCGAGATTAGCTGCTGGGAACACTCGCAAATATCATATCGAAACGTGTCAATCTACCTATTCGACTTTACGATCGTCAATGAATCGATAACGAATATCGAGGAACATGACACCAACAGAAAATGATGATACATTTCAATGTTTTCGTATGAAAATTGCTGATAAGTTTCAACGAGTCTCACAACTCCGGTGGTCCGAGAAATCGGTAATGCCTCAGTTTCTATGCAAACGGGAAATTCACAATCGAGAGTCACTGCGGGAATGCGCTCTTGTCGATTTTTTTTTTTATTTCGGAGAGCAGAATAAATCACGTTTTGGAGAGAAAATTAATGAGAAAACTCCAATTATTGATTGCATTCATGAGTTCTCCGCAAGTGTGGGATGCAAATTTTATGAAATTAAATTAAATGAAAATTTTTCACGACAATCCATAATCGATAGCGATTTCTGGGGACACGTCGAATATTTGAATCGAGGATGCAGTGGGACAAATCACCATCACGTACCGAGAAGGTGATTGCATGAGTATCCGCACATCAGAGTATTATTCACAGGTAATATTCACGTGATTTTCCGATTACCTACTGAATTGTGACCTGTGATTGGGCCCTTGCCATACCGTACGTTATTTTTTTTTTTTCAATTTCAGTCCCGGGGTCACGTAAGCGGATAAAATAGGGAATGCACCGACACCTCCGACTGGAGTCGAGTGGTCAATCTTGAATGGATATAAAGAAAAATCACGAATCTTATCTCTAATTATTGAAATTTCTGTTAAAAATATTATTATGAAAATTCAGTATTTAAAAAAATTGAATAATAGTTGAAAAATATTCTACAATCAATTTCCCCCATTTTCTCCATCCAAAATCCGCGCAAGTGGTCGACTGGTAAATAAGAAAAAAAATGGAAATTGACTCGGTGATTTTTCCTGTCCAGAGAAATTGGAGAAAGTGAAGGATAACGGAATAATTCAGCTAATTGTTTAGCATACTTGAATCAAGTCGGATAAAGTATGTGACAGGCTGAAGTATCCTGTCCTCTCTTGACATAACGGAATGGTTGATTAACTCTTGTGATTTTTTATTTGCCGGTGGTAGAGGCACCTCGAAAGCCATCACCCGGAGCAAGGGGACCTCCCTTGTTGAGAACTCGCTTACCATCGAGTGCTATGGGATAACTACTCATATAGCTTTGGTTAACTTACGAGCAAGGTGCCTTACCTCATGTCGTATCTCATTGTTGTACTTTACCAGCATGTCCTTGGCGTCAATGACCGAGAGCCCAGAGGTTTTCTGATGAAAATAAAATAAACCAACTTTCAACCATTGAAAATCACCGTCTCGTGTATTACAACCATAAGTAATTGAGAAATGGTGAAATAGCTTCCTGGAAGTTCATTACTCGACATTTTTTCCCCCTCGACAAATGGAAGAATGGATTTACTAACCACTAAGCCATCGCTAATTCCCACCGGCTTTATCACAAACCCCGGAGTTATCATCGGTGGAGATGGATTTGGGACACCAGCTAAATTATTACTCCACTCGGACGGTTACATTCATTAGTTTCCCGTATCATCACCATATTATATTTTCAATTAAATTTCATGAGGTCGCATCTTGCCGGAAACCACCATCAACTCGGAATAGTCTCCTCCTCCGAGTCTCACCATTTATTCTTATCATTGCAATATTTGTGATTGTTTTAATCCGAGTAATGTGAGACTCGTATATAAATAAAAAATTATGCCGATAATTTTTTGAGCATTTTTTTGGGCTAGCGAGTCCAGAAACTCTGGAAATTTGCATTCAACAATTTAATCGGACACAAATCTGGGGTTTTTCTCTGGAGATCCACGACGGGAGACACGAGTTCCAACCGTGAGACAGAAAATAGTGAATAACCCGATAGGCACCCGCTCAACGGACACGATGCAATGAAGGAAGAGACTCATCGAGATTTTATTTTTTATTATTTTTTTATATCGCGCGCGTTTTATCCTCTGCCCACGCATCGATGCTGAAGGGCGCCACGACCAACTTCTCGAGAATAATCTTCCGTAGGTTATGTTTGAATCGAGTTGCACGGTACATGCAGAGTGAGGAGGAGGATGAAACAAGGGGAGACTTGGAGGAAATGGAGAAAAAAAAAATGATGGAAAGAGGAGAATGAATGCTTACGGCGAGATCCGATATCACCGGAAGGCGGTTGGTTACCACTTCTGTACGTCATTTGTCTCTGGTTCCTTGCGCCGTCATCTCATATGTAAGAGGACTTGAGACAGATTGATCGAGTGGGTCTGGGTGACAAGTGGTTGATTTTAAGAAATTGTCGATAATTAAATTGACATTAGACCAATCGAGTCTCTCTTTCGTAACTCGTGTCGTCACTTATCCGCTGTCGCCTTTGGAGTGTTCGGCTCTCGCCAAAAATCACTGATGAGACGTCATTAATTATTTGCCTGGGTACAATGAATGGATGAATAAAAAAATTGAGTTAACGTTAGTCTATTGGAGACAGGGAGTTAGGGTGGTGGTAAGAGATGAGAGGGCGAGTAAGGTTACAGAACATATAACTGGTGGTTGGTAGACCACCCACGGGTTGAATCGATCAGCAACTGATACCCTCCTTGAACAGCTTGGTACAGAACCACATACTTGGTTTTTCAGATAGAATAAGAGAGATAGATATAAAAATGGGTGGAAAAGAATGAAAAAGAAGGAGACGGTTAAGAGTTACAGGTGCTATATGCCCGATGGTGGTATACCGTGGTTGTTGTGGGGGACCCCTTCGGGATTCTCGCTCAATTCACGATAACAGCCGTTCGAGCAACGTTTCGCGGGTGCTTTAATGTCGATCTTATCCGTTGGGAGAATTATTGTTCGAACGGCAGCCGCGTTTATTCGCCCACAAAACAAATCGCCTTCAACGCTTCTATCCTTTTCAATTCAACTCCCTCTTTTCATGAGCTTCTCCTTTTCTTCATTTTGGCTGTTAACTTTTTATTCACATACTTCTTCTCTTTTTTTTTTTATCCGAGGAACATGGAACTGCACCTCTGTAAGGGGATATTCAGGGGGATTTCTTCGGGTAAATCGATATTCCGGGGAAGCTACTGGATCTCTGTCGCTGGCAACTTGTCGAAATTGTTTAGGGACTGATTTGATGATTGCATGCCATTTCAATTGTCAAATAGATTTGTTTATGTGATATTATTTTTACAGGGCGAAGTTGACGAGTTGATAATTGAGATTTTCAATCGTTTGAATGTCGGGCAATCCCAGAAAATCATTGATACCGGGAATGTGCAGTTTTATAAATTTTTTATTTCAAATGTTTGTACGTATGACTCACGTAGGCGCTCAAATGTGTATGAACCTGATGTTTAAGTATCTTGAATGCCCCTCCTAGTCAAGTACCACGATATAGACCTATAGCGAGACTCCGATCTTACACCCAAAAGGTAATATTGACACAGGGAACTCGTGACTCCGAGCACGGGGTATGAGGATCGAGATGGAGACAAATATTCCACGAGGTCTTCACTCGTTTTTTTTTTTTTTTTTTCACGAAGTAGGGTAATGCGGAGGATTGAATTTCTTCTTCACAGATACGTATGGATGAAGAGACTAGCCTCAGAATGCCGAAGTGCTCTCTCCACTATTTGATGGGTGGAATTATTTTTACGGTTAAATAACTCCACGAAATGTTTGAGTTACGGTCATTTATTTCTGTGGAAATACTATAAATATTTACATACATATCTTTTACCGAGGATAATTCTCGTTTTACTGACCTTGTGCTTGCAGCTTCACCTGGGAATTAATCGGGGTGATGGATTTGGTGCAAGCGCGGGATTAGTGATTACATATTATACATATTCAACTCATCCTTTCCAACGATTTGAAAAAGAACGCCCTAAATCCTCTGAAGGGCACCACAATCTAGCGAAACTAATTCTCTGGGATTGTCCTTGTTTGAAAAACTGGGCTTAACTCGATGATTTTTCTCACACTTCACTATATCCTGGAGATCTCCAAGTACATCAGCCTTGTTTTTCTAAAAAAACGACTGTCCACTGTCATGTCTTCCAACTGAGATCCAACAGGGAAGGGGTATCAACCACTCTATCATTGCTTTCACTATCCGTTGGATCGTCATCACCAATCTCACCACTCGGACAGGAATCATCCCCGACGTCCTCAGCATCGCTTGTCTTCTTGCTGAGATCCATCGGCTCCTCCTGCTCCGGGCCAAAACTCTGGAAGAAAGCTGTGCATTTGTCCGCAATATTATCATCACACGATTTGTCCGGATCCGCTTTAGGTGACGGTGTCGACCGCAGCGAAGTGCTCTCACTCGATGAAATGGACAAACTGGTGACGGATATCTGGGGTTCCACTTGATTGACATAAGGAACGACCAATCTCTGTGGAAATGGAAAGCAAGGGGTGCTGAGGAACTGCATGTGATTGAGAGTTGGATGAAAGAACGGCGGAAGTCGCCACATGGGAAATCTACTAGCATCAGGCACCAGAAGACCGTGAGGCAGAAGCTCTGATCGCATTATCGGAGGCATTGGTGAATGATCTGCCAACTCCTCCTTGGACAATCTGCTCTGATTGATTCCTGAAGTAATACCGGATGCAGCTGCTGAATTGCTGTTGTTGTTGTTAGCTGCGTCCAGGACTTTGTCCGAATTAGACTCACTCGAGTTCTTGAGAAGGGCTTGCTGAGCCTGATGGGACTGCTCCTGCAGCAGACAGTGAATCTTGAACCAATTGGATCTTCTGCCGTATCTTGAACCGGACTTTGACATTCCCACCATCAGGCACTTCCGCAATCTGCACGCTTTGCACGCCGTTCGATTTTTCTTGTTGATGACGCACACACCACCATTCTTGCAGCCTGATATGCTGCCGAGATTGTTGTACGTCCGTCCGAAGAACGACTGGTCAACATAAGAAGGTCTTATTGTCATTGGGTGAACAGCTGTTGGTGATTGTAACACTTTAATGTGAAATATCGCTCGTGTACTTGGGTTTACGCAATTGTGTGGTATTAAGGTCGTTTCAGGTGACTATTTCACATGTTCTGCACTTATTCTGGGGAATGAAGCTTCAGGAGTATCGGGATTGGTGACTTGTTCAGTGAGGGGTGCTATAAATCTACGAGTTATTGAGATTCACAAATGAAGTTATCGATGAATTATTCAACGACTATTGATTAGTTGAACAGCGAATGTAACTCACCTTACAACCCTCGCACGTGAATGCACCGAAGTGGAAACCTGCTGCTGGCTCACCGCACACTCTGCATAACTGATTCATCTGGAATAAAATCGGAGGATTCACAGGAATTGATTGTGAGGATTATTATCGGGGCATCGGGGTGATGAGAAAATGAGGACTGAAGGATTATTTGGGATAATTGAATGGGCGAGGATGGGACTGATGATGGAGAATCTCATGAACAAATGGAGTTGATTTTTCATGCGGGATATTCAATTCGCTTCTACAACAGGAATTCAACAATTGTAATCATCGTCGTAGTTATGCCTCATTATCAGCGTGAATTATTATTCCATAAAATGACGCGGGGAGGCGGCCTCAGCCAGGCATATAATTCATGACAAACATAACGTGATGTACATGATGGAACGGTAAATGTCAGCATCATGGAAGTCAGAGTCTCTTATTTATTCGGACCTATTAATGTTTATCAGACAACTTTGGCTTTTGTTTCAGATTGATGACTCGCTTGTGTGCCAATTTGCAATGTCAAACAGTTGGAAAGGGATTTATTATTTTTGATAAGTCACTGGTAAAACAACTCTCAAGTTCCGGAATTTCCAGATATTTTCTATTGTCCGCAGCTTTCCGCATTTTTTTTAGATACATATGATTATATGTGAAAATTATGTACTTGCCACGTCGGTGTTTGCGTGGCTCGTGACAATCGTTGGAGCTGGTGACCACCAGCCGGTGCTACCGTGCAAGCTTGTGGTGGTGTTTCCTTCTGGTGTTGTCACGGTCTCGACTGCATATTCCCGGATACCTGAGGCCGGCCCGAAAACCGCTGGTCCTGTCCTCGCCAATCCCGCGGCATTCGACGATTCTCCCACGTCCATCCGGACATCCGTGTTATCGGTCACTTGGACTACCGTCCACCATCTCCAATGCCACAAGCAACTGCGATTATCATTGTCCTGTCACCTGGTGCTTATCTACATTTTACAATTCTTAAAAAATCATCCTAGAATCATGACTAAATAACAAAATTCAATCCCCTCTTTAAATATTTATAAATACCACGGATCACCTTTATTACAGATTATTAATAATCCACAATTATCGATATTAATATCGAGACATAAAAAATTATAGGAGAATGTGAATATCGAAGAGACTCGTAGCTCAATTAATCAAGTATAAATCCAATTCTGCAGCGAGCCTCAAATTTGACGAGAATAAATATCGTGGATCGATCGCGCTTATTGAATTATTATCGAATCACCGATAATTGCCATTCGATTTCACCGCATGATTGAATATTTAGCACTGTGTCAATCCGACGGAAATTCAATGCCAATAATCTCCGAACAGCCGCAAGTCGTCGAACGTTTGCCATTACCTCCATGAAAATCAAAATTTTCAAACCCAAAAAACCGCAAAAACTTCCGATTTTCATAATAAAAATATAGCGATCACCTCTTTAAGATAAACTGATGGAATTCTCACCGGTTCTGAATTATCCAAGGCGATTTACTTGATCCGAAGATATCACTCGTTCGAGCGATCGACTCCTCGACTTCGAGCACTGGTCGTTCCCCCGGAGGGTGATGCCCCCCGCCTAGCCATCGACCGAATGAACAAATTGATGAATAAATTGACGAATAAATTGAATCGCTATTGATCTGCTATGACAAGATGACGAAATTGTCACTGTCACTCAAACTATCCGTTGGATCACTTTGACGGGTGGGTGGAGGGGCCTGGAAGGGGGGAATATATTGATGATTATGAAAATGAGAGGTCGCGTGGATGCGAAATTGCGCGGTAAATTGGCGACCGGCTGGTGCGAGGCGTGTGCTCACGAAGCACGTGGCCACAAGACTGAAACTCCTGCCTCTCTTGCTGCGTCAGGTTTGTTTGTCTGTTCTTCCTTATCTCGCTTCTATACACTATACCAGACGTGCAAGACTTGTTTAGTATACCTCGCGGATACCCTGCGATTCATCGCTACTAATAATCAAATCGGTTTTTTATTTTTTACGTATTTAAGAGTTCAATAAAAATCACTGGAAAAAATAGACACCTCGAAAATATTAAAGTATGGAATTGAAGATATAGAAATGGAGTATCTACTTGAAATAAATATAATGATATATTTATTTCAAGGAATAATTGGAGTAAAATTGGGAAAATACATTTTTGTCGGTATTCATTGAAAATCGGATAAAAGTTAACGGTTTTAAATTTCATTATTATTTCATGTTTGGGAGCGAGAAACCAAGTACAGTCCCTACTTGATTCAAGTCGGGAGAATCTACTCGAATTAATGGCATTCTCAATTAATTTCCACTGATATAAAATCGAAAAATTGTGAAACTGGAAGTTTGGGGAACGAATGCTGTGATTTAGCAGTGGAATGGGAAAAATATGGGAATGGAAAGGGGAAAAATGGATTGGGGAGGGGGCAAGAGTCGCACGAGTGGTGCGCACGCGGGATCATACGGGTGCGCACCACTGAGTGGGAGGTGCCTTGATCGGCAGCCAATAGAAAGATCCGCCACCCACGAAGTGATAAAAATTAATTTATCGTGGGATCGTACGCCTACGCCATTGCTGGAGAAGCAAGAGTGGGTTTGGCAATGTCACTCGTATCGGACGGAAGATAGCGTTGATTGTCGGGCATTTTGTCAATACTCGGGGATTTTATTTCATTTTATTTGATTCGTGGATTACACCGGAAAGATATCAGTATCGTCGATCCGTCATTTTTCAGTAGTTGGTCCAGTCGATTGGTCAATCTTTTGTCGACAAAAAATTACACGCAACAATAAAATTAGTAATGAATGGAGATAATGAGATAATTATTAATGATTATTTTTTTTCCACTCCTGAATTGAGATTTTTCATTGTTTGTCGTCATTGGAATTTTGAGATGTAAATCTATTTTTTGGTACATTGGATTGATTGTAAAAATTGGTCTTTTTTTTTATCAAAAAATCGGCGGAATTTTCAAAAGGTGCTGAATGGAGTTGGTCACTCTATCCTTCGAGAGAATGAGGAATTTCTTTCTTTTTAAATTGTTTATTAGCTCCCAGTAACTTACCGACCGTTCCGTCATCTTCCATATCCACATGAGCGGGAGTTAAAACATGTCACCATAAATTTTAATCTATCATTGTATATTTATCGTAATTAAGGCCCGGTTGGAGGGATTCAAGTAAAAATTATTCAACATTATGTAAAAATCGTGCAAAAAATTCAATTTTTTTTCAACTCTGAAATTTTTACTCTAATTGACTGCTAAAAAATTCTGAACGACTGAATAAATTCCCGGAAATTTTCCTCTCTGTGAGATTTCCAATTTTAATTGATAAGAATTCATAAAACTACATAATTTTCATTATTGTTGATCTCACCGCCTTATCCATATCTATTTCCATAATCATCTGCATACAAGGGTCGGAAAATTCATACCAGAGGTCATGCATTAGTGATACTAACCCACATTCATAATTCGCGGAGATTTAAATGTTGAACTCTGGTCTTAGATTGCTCTGCTTGCATAATTCTCTATTCCAAAATAATAAAACAAATATAAATTGCATAACTTTTTATTTAGTATGGTTAACAATGTTCCAATTAATTATCACAAATGAAATTGAGGCTGCGATAAGTTTCGAATCGTGACGAAGACAAAAAAATCTGCTTTCCTCAAAGAGATAAATAAATCATTCGAATGGACTTATTGCATGTCTGAAAAATCGGGATGATCGGTGACATCACATACACTGTCAGGCAATCGTTGACATGTGAGAATCGGTGGGACTTCGCAAATACATTTGACACAAACAGAGTCATAATTTGTTTTCTGGTTGAGTTCTTCCCCCAGGCGAATCTTGAGGGTTCCGAATTTACACATCATGTCTTCAGAGTCCGATGGTTCGGGCGTTCCTTCCGATCTGATGACTTTATCTTTCCTATTCTCTGTTATAATCAATCGAAAATAATTCCACTGAAAAAAAAACTGAAGCATCTTAATTTAAAATCGACTTACGATATCTGTATGCGACTGGACAGTCAGTCTGGGGGGACTGAGAGCTGTAATAAACTGGTGGATAATTATTGTGAACTTCTTCGGAGTGACGGAGTTCAATTCCACATTCGGCAGAAATTTTCACTCTGCAGAAGGGTTCGACGTTTTGACCTCTGTATCCAGCACCGCAATAACAATGTTTTTGCGGCTCTGCAGCTGGTGAAAAATATTCAGGTGCTCTGTAGGTTTTTCCATCAACAACACAGGTCGGCCAATCCTCGGGCTTCTCAGCTAAAAAAATTCTCTCACCCCATTATCTGACCTTATCACATCCCACCACTATAATATTGTTGCAAAGTCATAAACTACGATAAATCCATTTATTCGAGATCAGTTTTAGCCAATATATCGAAATCGAACGAAGATAACGATATTTTCATAGATAACTCTTTTGCAAATCTCATTTTTTTTTTTATAAAAAATGGTTCTGCTAAAAGATCGCTGTGTGCTTTCAATCTCGAGGTATTCACTGAAAATTGGCGTCGAAAAAAATGCTTATTAAATATTTTCACACTCACGACAAACTGGAGCCCTTGGACAGCACTCGGTGGCATTTCTGGGATTATAGCAATTTGGAAGATGCCGAGTGAAGCAATCGACAATAGCACAAGTGAAACCAGCACTAGAAAGTAATGTCAATTGTCAATTGCCTTTTTTGCAAGAATTAAGTAGAGAAAAAATTTATTTATAGACCCCATAAAAAATATATATCCTAGTAATTATATGTGATATATATGTATTAATTTCAAAAGAACACCTACACGCCCGTATTTTGATTACAAAAGCAACCAACATCGCAGGGCTTCGAATCTTCTTTCCTGAGAGGTTCCTGAAGATTATACTCGTGTCCGTTGGCATAGCATTTGTTTATTGATCTTCCTTTCAGATGATCACAGTTGTATTTGTAGGGACAACAATCACTTTCTTTTTTATACACCGGAGTACATGCTACATCCTCGTAGAATCGTAATGGTCCTTTGCATTTACTTTTGTCGCAGTCTTAAAGAAAGGGAAGAGAGATAAGCGTGGCCATCCCCTTCCTCACCGACCAATAAAAATAGCCGTTCAATTTCAATTATGATTAATATAAATACCTCCTTCAGCAGGGGATATATAAGCAGCTATCAATACCACTATGAATACACCGAAATTCACGTATTTAGTCATGATAACTGGAGTTTATACAACAAATGTTTAAGCACAACGCGAGTCTCGTTTTATATTAGTCTTTGGGAAGTGGGGGAATGATTCTATTGATGTTGCAATTCTCACTCTTGACCTTTACAATGTCAATATTTGAAGATATGAAGATCCCAACATTCACACATTCACACCTTCTCGATTCTCATGCTCCCCTGATATTTTTTCGAAAATTTCAAATTTTTAAAATCCAGTGAATACCTCCTTGATGCTCATGCTCCCCTGATACTTTTTTTAAAATTTCGAATTTTTCAATTTCAGTGAATACCTTCTCGAATCTCATGCTCCCCTGATATTTTTTTGAAAATGTCGAATTTTAGAAATCCAGTGAATACCTCCTCGATTGTCATGCTCCCCCGATATTTTTTCGAAAATTTCGAATTTTAAAAATGTATCAAGGGAGCATGCTGCGCCCTCTCTCTCCTCGGGTGAGGTACTACAATGCCGGTGGGGTCACTCAAACCCCCAGATCTGATCCTCTACTTTAGTCAATGCTCTTTGGTAATTACTCAGCAGTCACCCAATTTTCACATCGCAAAATATTTCCTTACCATTCATGACAATACGCAAATGCCTGAATAAATGGCTGAGTCAAATGATTATTTCGGCTTCGAAATATTGAGCAAATTGGTGGAGGAGCAAGTGCACAAGAAGGAAGACGTTATCATTTTGTTCGCTCACTGGTTTCTCGTTAAGAATGGCTTTCGGTGTATTGGGCTAGGTGATTCGGTGAGTAATCCCCTTTTCCATTTTCACCTGATGACAACATTGGATTTCCCATGAGTTATAGAAATGAGAGTGTTTTCTCCATGAGAAAATGCCTGCGTAACTTTATTATTAATATGTTCAGAAAACCTTCAATCCAAATGAAAAAGGAGTGGAGCTGCTTCCTGAGGAATGGAGTCAAAGCAATCATTACTCCCTGAGATACCTCAGAGAAGCAAAGCTATATATTCTCCTCGGACGAAAATCAGACTCTGATCTGCTCCTCAATTTCCTGGTATTTTTCTGTTCCAGTCGAAAAATATAAAATAATTCATAAATAATCATGGACACATATTAGCCGATTTGATTTTTAGCGAATTGCAGATAATTGTCTGTCGACAGTGAAATTCTCAGTGAATGGAACAGTATCAGAGCTCCATGGAGCCCTCTCGTTATCAATTCCACATCACCAGGAGGTGATGCAAAAACTCCAGGGAGAACTGCTGGCCCCGGTTTACCCAGGAAATGCTAGGGAAATATCTACCCAGACGACAACGGCGTCGCGATCCCATGAGGAGAGATCGAGGAGGTCGCCGCCGGATGATCCTCTCCGAGTAGATCCAGTGCCAAGACCACCCTGGTAAAGAAAATACACCTGGAAACCGGTGTGGACTCCACTGTCGGTTTCTTCTTCTAATTAATTTAGCAGGGGAAAAATCGTTTTTAAAAACGTGTTATTTATTTTTGTTTCAAGGCCTGAGGGAGACGTGAGGGGTGTCGGGAGGAACGATGTCGATCCACTGGCAGGCATTGGCCCTCGAGGAGGTGGAATGATCTTCGATCCATTTCGTCGACCTAATCCTGGCCTGCCAAATCCCCTGGGACCACGCCCTGGTGGCATAGGAGGACCCGGCAGGCTTCCACCGTGAGATTTTTTAACCCACCACTCGATTCAATCGGGATCCTTATACTATTATTATTCCAGAGGCGCCATTCTGCCAGACGCCAGGTTCGACCCTTTTGGTCCACCCGACCTAGTCCAACCAAGATTTCGTCCCAGGAATCCAGACAACGATCACGAACTTCCACCCCCTGGTTATGATGACATGTTCATGTGAAATACCCATGCTTTCAATGTAATATTCTTTGCTATTAAAAGTCATTTCGTTAATTTCGTTAATTTCGAAATGATGATGTTTTTCTCCCAGAAAAAATAATTTTCATATCCTCATTAGAATATTCTCGAAAATATTCAGCTAGAATATATTGCCGGGAAATTCTTGTGAGTTATCGTGGAGGGATGGGTGTTGGAGCGGGGATGAGTTAATTGATTGTCGGATTTATTGACTAGGTGATAAAACGCAAATTAATCATCATCAATTATCATTTATTACGATTATTATCATCATTATTTATTATTGTTGTCATCGTTAGTATAATATTAGCGACAATATCGATATTACCACCGTAATCATGAATATTCACGTGAAAGAGTACATTCACATTGGATCGACATAAAATCAAATGACGCAAATATCAACCGATTTATTTCAATAGCGAAGTGGTAAAGTCAGATAAGTCGTATTTAATATTTTTCATAATGATCGATTTATGTAATATAAAAATGATGGGTATTATTTTTTCGTTCCCATCACTGGGTATTAAAAAAAATAAAGTAAAGAGAAAAATGTAAAAATTGAAATTATCTGACTTTATATGGCTTTGCTAGTGATGTGTTGTATGGCGTGCGATATCGCTCATTCTCGTAATCGATCCTTCATCTTCGTCTGTCAATAGTTTTGAACACAGTCTAGTGTGGCGCACAGCGTCACTGACAATTTTATATAAAAACTTGCTAGTTGATCTTCTAGTTCATTTAATCAGGTATACAGGCAATAAAAGAATACTCATGTATCTTCATTAGAGACGACGGAGTGAAAAAAATTGAGTTCCTTTATTCATCAATTACATGCGAGTCCTCATAAAATTGCCATTGCGCTACGATTAAAATGAAAGAACTTTGGAGTGCATCACCTCGCAGATTACACACATTATATTGAGATATTTCTGTTCTTTTCATTCGAATTAATTTAGAAGTCAGGCCTCACAATACGAACGAGCGAATTGAACAGAAAATGCTTTCCCATGGTTCAGCTCATGGTTTTTACATTCTCTATCGAAGGATTATAATAGCAGTCAAGTAGTAAAGCGAAAAAAGTCGAATTTGAAAACATATAATTTTAAGATCAAAAGATATCAAAAGGCCTTGCTTCTTTATTTATGATAATTAAGAGATCTTCATTGGAATAGTCTCACTTTACCACTTGGCTACTCATCCTTTATTTTCCATTCAATTTTTTCGCACGTGAATAATAATAGAAGTACATCCATCAATCCTGCCTATCACTGGAAATGCAACTTGGCGCCAAATTAAATTTTCCATTTATCAATTTCATATCAGAGACAATGAATGCACACCTCACGAATACTATTTTACACCTGAGAATTTCTTAACAAATGTTACTTAGAAGCTACGTAATATATTATTTCAAATGTCATTTTTGGTGATGATTGCACGGAAATGAAGACACGGGTATGAAAAAATTTAGTTGAGAAACCGAGCATTTACCCAATTTAATTCTATTGAAACCCTGTGGAAAATTTATTTATTTATATTATAATTTTTTGTTCAAGTTTTTTCTTGCCCAAGTTAACCTCCAAAATTATGCAACTCTTCTGTCTACACTTATCAAATCTATTCTCAATAATTTCAACGCATCAGAATTTCGATAGTAATTCATAATTAATTCAACAGAATGTCAATGAATTAACGTTGAATTTTCTCATTAAATGATACAAGTGCAGGAACTCAACTTCATAAACGTCCCATCGGAGACGAATTGCGTGAATTTCCTCCACTGGTCTATTGTCAAATTCCACCCGATAAAGTACTGTACTTTAACTTTACCTCGTCCTCCTTCACTCCTCGGGTGATTTAACTGATAAATGTCCCAGGATCTTAAGAAAAATTGAAGAAACAAACTCGGCAAGACCATAAAAATTTCCCACAACTCGCCCATTGCCAAAAGAAATTTACAAATTTAAAAAACCAAAACGGATAATTGAATACGCATATCGATACATATATATTGATATATAATGTGGTCGCACAGTACTAAAAATTATTGGACCATAGGTACACATGATTGGCCCCTAGCCCACCGATGGCACCGATGGTAGAGTATAAAAAGAAATGTATAAATCGCATTGGAAACGTAATGTACAATTGTAAATTTCAGTCAATCATTAGTGGGAGGCAGTCCTCACCCTTAATAACTCCATAAATTAAAGGATTGGAGGGGAAGTAACATTAATGACAATTCGGCAAAGCCCACTCTTGCATTTCCACTGATAGGCCATTATTTTTATAATATAATTGGTACAATATGTCACTTTTCGTCATAGTCGTGCGAAAATTCGTGAAATAAGGTATAAACAAAAATCAATAAGTTGCACTGACGAAAATGAAAGAAAAAAAAATCATAACTAAGAAATTCTCCATTCACTCTACTGGACGCAGCACGAATTTTTTTGTCCGTTCTTGAGCTTCAATCGAGATTTCGGACGATATTTTTCCAAATAGCCCAATTGTTTGGCGTTTATGGCGCCACGTCGTTTCCTGGGAAAGCACAGAGAACAGAATAATCAACTTGATATTTCCAATGACGTTGATAATGGTTTTTTTATATTTTTATCAATTTTTAAGGAATATATAGAAATCCTGAAGAGATTCGAGAATCGACGGTTATTGGATGGAATATTTTCGAAAAAAAAAACACGTTTTTCGGCCAGTAGTCATACATCGAGCAGTCGGGCTAGAGATGAAATTTTTTTTTTCTCCCATTTTTGGTTTTGACCGAGTTTGTGACAGATTAATTCGAGTGAGTTAGTCGAATGGTGAAATTATGTGTAATTATTTAAATGAACATGGAAACTCACTCTCTGATGAGGGCTACAGCGTCTTCGTATTTTAGTCCTAATTCAATGAGTGCAAGGGCGACGAGGACAGGGGCTCTGCCGAGTCCAGCGACACAGTGCACTGCTACACATGCCTCAGGTGTTTCCCGGAATCTGTTCTTCAGTAGCTCAAACCATTCGTCGATCACCTAAATATTTATTCATTTAAGTTTTACTTGACATTCTACTGGGAAATTTTTATGTCGTAAATAAATAAACATGAAAAATGAGAAAATCCATTTATTATTTATTATTTATTATTTCAATTGATACGCACCTCGTTGGGTGGAAATGTTCCATCATCGAAGACGAGATCAAGAACGTTTATTCCCTCGGACTTGAGCTCCTCGACTTTATACGTCGGCTCGCAAACTCTCACCACTTCCATGACATTGTGCTTCTTCAATTCCTACAATTGAACAATCATTGTTCACCACTAGTATAAAAATCAAACAATGGAATAATTGTAAATAAGATAGACAAAAATACTTACTTGGATGAAAGCGTGGATAGTTTGATCACTGGGTCGATCGGTAATGAGGAATTTCATATTTTTGTATTCAATTTCGGCTGGAGCCGGCCTGATATCCTTCACCCGCATGTTGCTCATATCTTCATACAATTGCACGGGATTTAAATAAATTTCAACTCTCTTCTCTCCAATAACCAATCAAATCAACAACTCATATCTTGTTAATTCGAGCTGTGCGAGGCTACGAGTCCAAATAAATTACAAAAAGAAGAAAAAAAAAACAAGGAGAAAATGAAAAACTAATAATTAAGAAATACAACTGAATTTCCAGTGAAGATTTAGCCCATAGGTGTCAGTCTTATTGTGAGGTTCTTCATTTCACTATTATCCTCCCCAGGACAGAGGGTAATGACCTTTTTACACAGAGAATCTCGCTAGAAGTTGATTCAGCCGCGAAAGATGCGTGATATGCCTTTTTTTCGGAAGATTATCTGCAAATACAAGAGATAATTGATTGATGCAAATGCACTGGTGTGATGCTCTGTGGTAGAGCTTACCTATTTGGCGCTGGGTAATCCCCACCAAGATGCACTCAATGACTACGATGCCTGAACATGGTAATGTTGATTAAAAATTCTTCGCTAATGAGTTTTCCTGATGACTAGCTGAATAATCTATCGTTCTGTATCGATGAATACTAGATTGTTTCAATTTCTACAAATATAACGTATATATTTTCGTTTCAATGACTACGTCCTGGCACAGTTACTGCCCCTTTATTCTCTCGATTTATTTTAAAAAGATAATTTATTCAATATTGAAACGTACGTCTTGTCTCTCTCTATTTGTGTTGAGCCTGGCAGTACTCGGCGCTGTCCAGCTGAAACTCCATGTATGTGAGGATGCACTCACCAGGAAACTAAAAAAAAAAAATCATCACCCTGTCGTTATAACTAATTATCATGCAAATAGCCTCGACAAGTTTTCAATCATTTATCTGTCAATATAAGCCACATCTTAATACTGGCAAATGATCATTGTTTCAAATTTCATTTGAAAAAATAATCCGATGAGGGATCAATAATTTTCTAGCGACTGATGACACCGGAATGTCATTGCGAGCGCAATTGTTGACCGCTGATTATTTAAAACCTCTGCATTATGGAGTTCTACGCAGAAGTCACGTGCGTTCAAATGTATACCGGGTAAGGGGGGAAGCTTAAAAATTTATAAATAAAACCAACAAATAACCTTGAGACGTCGACCAACAGCGTAATATTCTAATTTCGTATATTGTCCCTGGTTGCAATATTTTTTTTTTATTTCACGTATCCATGATAAAGCGAGGGGAAAAAAAATTCATTCGAAGGAAAAAAAAAATTGCCTCGATCATGTCTCAAGGGCGTTTAAATATAATTTAAAAAGATCTATTGCGCGCTCGTGAGTTTATCCTGGGTCTTCAGACAAATTACCACATGCATGCCATAACTGCAGAATTATTTCCAGACTCTGTATTGATGGATAAACTATTCACTGTCCTCCGTTTATTCAATTGTTAACAAGACTAACTGAACGCGACATTCTCAGTGACAATTCGCACACAAACAGTTGCAATATTGAGAATTATTAAGTCGATAGGTTTCCTATCAATCAATACCTAATAAAAAAATTGAATTTAATATTTTTTCATTTAGCTACTGGATAACTGGAATAACTAAAAATGAAAATGATGAAATATCGGTGGCCCGAACTCAACGATAGAGCCAAAAATACACCAGTGATATTCATCAAATCACGATTACCGATGGCTCATTTTCAGCACACCAAATAATATGCAAAAATTCAGCGATTAAAACTAGAAAAAATCCTCATATACATGTTTATCAAGCACAAAAAAATTATATTATAAACAAACGCATGTAACTCACTGGCTGAAGGCCCTCGGGTAATAGCTAGTTGCATCTTGTAACGAATCACGTTCAATATAAATATAATATACACCGATGTCAACTGATTTTCGCTCTCGGCTTGGTGAATTCCAAGGGAATAAAAATTGAAAAAGCACTTGGAGTTTGTACCTCAATATCATTGATACGGGATCAGATTGGATTGAGTTGGGAATAACCACTTGAGCATGAATAAAGTCACATTTTAATCGACACCACCAACACCAGTTTGTGAAAATCTCAGTAAAGGATACCGAGACGGTAAAAAATTCTCATCAAAGTGCTCGAGGAAGTGGCTCTTCCAATGACCACGGATTGACGGTCGTGTAGAATCTGGGCCAGCACTTTACAGACGGATGAAAATAGCGTTGGTAAAGAGTCGCTCGCTCTGTATCCCAGTGAACATGAACATGTCGAGACTATTTTACTCTCCCTTCCAATACTTGGAGCTCTCTTTTCAAGCCCGTCGCGTATTTTCCATAATCTGCCTTTACTTATCCACCTCTCCTCACTCCCACCAAATGCCTCCGTCGACGTCATCGTCAGCCACGAGCCAGCCAATCCCTCATCACCCACCACCCACCACCCACTTTATGACGTTATTCATCCTATTCCTCGTATCACTCGACACGCGCTCCTATTTCGCTTTATGATGAAATTTCACTATTTTTTTTTTGCTCACTTTGAGTTTTTTAAACACTGGCAATTATTATTTCAAATTATTTGACTTTAGACAGTCAATAGGTACTTTTGGTGTTTTTGGGAAATGATTATGAACTTTATTTTTTCCTAATTCAAGTTTATCGCTCTGCTCCGAGCTGCATACCTGGAGATTGCCCATATTTAAAATACGATAATAATAGGAGGATTCACTTCCATCCGAGGCTTGGAATATAATATAACCGGCGGTTGTTCTGATAACTGGACAGGTGGTCCTGTCACTTGATCGTCCAGGGGACAATAATAATTTATTTTTCATCTACAAGGGGTAGGATGACATTCATGTGAGCGCCACGGTTCATTTTTCTAGATCTGCACTGGATTCAAATCTATCAAGGTCGAGTTTACGTAATAATAATTATCATCAAATTATGGATTAAAAAAGGTATGATAAGATAATATTTAATGACGTGATCCACCGACCAAAGTTTTTTAAAAATGATTCTTGTACATTTCGTACGTAGAGTACGTGCGTTATTTATTTTTCCGACAATATATGAGTTACGATAAAGAGGTGAGTCATGAGCTAACAAGTAGAGCATTAATATTTTCTCAGGTACTGATGAACGAACTTCTCTGAGATAAATTTATTCGAGGAATTCAATTAAAGTCGATGATTTATCTCGAGATTTTGGGTATTTCATTGTCTCGAATGTATTTAGCCGACCTATATTTTTTTTCCTCGTGCAGCAACCGATTTTTGTACTGCCAGTGAAGCGCCAAAATCAGATAAGTCAAATTAAAAATTCTTTCATGTGTAATTATCGATTTATCTTGATTTAAGATTATTGAAAACATTCAAAGATTTTGCTAGGTGTATTTAAAAATTGATTTTTAAGTCATGCTTAAGATATTTAAAAAAAAAAGGGGGGGCAATTGGTATGTGAATTGAAAAATGTTTATAGATGGTATGTTGGAGGAAATGGAGTTGAGCCTCTCGCCGTCCAACTCGTGCCAAGACTGCCAAGACGTACGTCACAGGATCATGAAAACCCGATGGAGATAATGAGAATGACAAATTTCCCATTTCGCCACAGACGAATGATTATGGTTATGGTTACAAACAGAGAGCGAGTAAAAAACCGAGGGGAGGAAAAAAAAAGAAAAATAAATAAATGAAATAAATAATGGAGAGGAGCATATAGACAAGAAAATTCCACGCAACTCGGTGGTATGTACTCCACAAGCCCTTGTAAATGTCCATTATACAGGTACAGCATCAAGCATCAAATCCACCAAGTCCAATGGCATGGGGGACGGAAGTAAACTTTTGCTGTTGGTATTGAATTGGATTGGAAGATTTTTTTTATAATAAAATCACTCACCTGAATCGCCATACACATTGAATACGGCAGGTACGGTGGGGCGTCGTTGTTAAAAACGATACTCCAAAAAGGGTCAGTGACACTTGCTCAACTTACACACGTCCTAACGCCAAAAAAGCTTATGGACGACTAGTGATGAGACGTGAAAATGGCGGAAGCATCTTTGTGTGGGCGCACACCTCTATGAATTCTCTCTATTCCACTTTGAACGCCCTCTATCCAATTTTTAAATAAACCTCCACGACAGGGCTGCCACATGAATGTTTTCCAAAAAATTCCTTTTGATTTTTTTTCTGATGTTCACTCTAAAACCCAGTCAAAGAGGATTGACTAGAGTAGAGGCTCAGTTCTGGGGGTTTGAGTGACCCCAGCGGCATCGTAGTACTGCACCCCAAGAGAGGGAGGGCGCAACACGCAA